ATGTAAAGATACTCCTGAATTATGTATATACTAACAGATGACGAATTATGACATCATCGAAACCACGAATTTTTCACATTTTCAAAATCCTCCTTTCATTTCGAATCAGCTTTCTCTGTTCAAATTCAATTTCCCCACTCTTAAATCTCACAAAAACGATGCCAAATACGGAAAAAATTCTTCAGCCATTTTAAAAGTTAAATATTACAGTCAACGAATTTTTTAACAAACGTTTCAAATAGTAATAAACTTTCAACAGTTCATATTAATAACAAATAATCTTCGAAGTATCGTCATTTACTTGACGTGACCCAGAGGCGTTCTCCATGAGCGATGCATTAAACTCTCCAGAAACTCGAATCATTTCTTTAGGCACGGCAAACGACTTTCACTCTATCATCTCCGGTCAAGACTCTTCGCTTTAATGAATTCACGTTCGCCCCCCTCGCCCTCCGGTGGAAAAGACACGGAGGGTACTCGCGACCACAATGTGTGTCCGATCGATGCGCAATTCAATCTCTTCGAGTTAATGAAAACATTCAGCCCTGTAACGAACAATAATTTTATTCATGCCCCATGGTTTAGGCTCCGATGCCGCCTCCGCCGCCGACATCGCCGCGGCGTTTCTTCGCGTCCGCCATTGAAATTACCCGAGGCGGCAAGAGCCGGCTCCTTCGCTCCGATTTTTACGGGGAAGCTTCAAGCGCCCTTTGTTCGCCATTAATTGTAAACAAAGAGGACGAAGCTGCCCGAGCTAGAAGGCGGGCCTGGCGTCAAGAAAATGAATTTTTCAAGGAACAACTTGATCCAGATACGCTAACGATATTACTCGGTGGCTGTCTGATCCCGTGATAAACGCTCGAAGTCTGGTGTACGACGTTGAAAGCGGAAATTTCGTTGAAACGTGGAATTCGAAGCGGAAGAAGTAAGAAACTTTTGAAGAGATAGGTGTAATTGAAATTACATTAAAATTACTACACTGAAACTTGAATCATTTTTATAAGGAGATGAATATGAACCGTTTGAAATATTTAGTACTACTGGCACAAAATTATTTTTAGGAGATAATAATAATATAAGATATTTTTAAATTAAAATTCCCGCTCTAATGATTTCTGAATATTTTATGTACTCGTTTTGAATCAGCCTATATGTTCGACCTATGCGATCGAGATCAATAAGACGGAAGGAACAATGTAAATTATGGCTGAAAATGTTTCATGAATATCAGCCAGTATTCGATTAGTAAACTTTCACTAGCGGATAGCGCGGATTATTTATGCCCAATTATTGGCATAATTTTCATCATCCACTTAACGCCGACAGCACCGCGATCGATACGATTAAAGGTTGTCGGCGCGAATACAGATGGCCACGGATATTATTAAGGCGAGTAATGATAAATGTGTACTAGGCAAACCCCGATTTGTCTTGGAATTAAGTCGCGGTTGGCTTTAATACGAGGAGAAGTCAATATGGCAGTTGGCACGTCATGATCGGATGCGAATGCATATTCTGCGAGCTATTTAATAATATAACTATTTTCCATAGTGAAAAAATATAAGTACCAATAAATCAAATGAAAAACGATCATTAAAGTAGTGATCAAATAATACTAATCAAAGATTAAAATAAATAATAATTAAATGAAAGGTTGCTCAATTAGGAGTTACACATTTTAAATCGTTTCAACGATGAATAAATTCTGGATTTTTTACCGACCGTTGTAACTATATGTTTTTGTGTAGTAAAAATGTAGTAGAAAATTACAAGTATTGGGTATCACCTGTAATTTGGGGTTCGGAAATTTTACAAAATGATAGTGCGATCAGCGTTCGGTTCGATCGACGACCAGATATGTGCTTTCTGTGGGCATACTGACCCCGATATCGAGTATCCTTAATATGTTGCTACAGTGTTATTGAATAAATACATATTTGCTAAATCACCGATAGCCCTACGTGATAAAATACCTCGATCGATCTTTCAGCAATCAACCAAGGGGTATTTACATATTGTGCAAATCGTGTCGAATGTTAGGCAAGCATCACCATATGTAAGATTACACTATTCGTACTGAGGTGAATTGATAAAATATTGCATAATAATGAATCAACTGGAATTAGCAGGTTAATAAATTAATTATTTAAACAGTATATAAATTAGTACTACATTTTCTGCATTTATTAAAGAATGTTTACTCTAATATGTTTATTATTTAACAATACCTAATACGCAACATCGAAAACCTTTCTACTTAAAAGATCTTATATTGGAGTATTATATTTTATTGATAGTTAAGTGTTACATAACTTCCAGTGGTTATTTTCCAATAGAAAATATTAGTCACGTGAGTTATGGTTGAATTCAAAAGGGAACTCAATTATTTTCAGTATTTACTAGAGAATTAAATTTTAAAGGAATAATAATTTCATGTTTGACACTTTACTATAAAAGCAGTAAAATATGAATTCTTGTTATAAGTAGTGAAATCTAAGTTGTTAATAAAAGTGGGCATTGCTTGTCGAACGTCCGATAGGGTACATTGTATATCACGATCTCCTCCGTAAGATGTTGTCATATCAAACACTGAAGATATTTATGGTTCTCCAGCAGCCACTGAACAAGTTATCGGAGCAATATACATAGTATTAATAGGTCAGGCTATAAGTGAACCCACATCTGTTGGAACGTTAAGTCACTGAACTTCATGAGTAACCGAATAAAACTGTTTTCGATCGAAAATACCTCTATTGTTATCGATTCCCTGGAATTTCGTGAGAAATTATGGGTAACATTCTCTCGAAGAGAATCAAAAATATGGAATCGAGTATCGTAACTTCTTTTTAAATACTCCGTAACTGAAAACAAAATTTATTGATAAATTATATTAAAATAATTTAAGAAGAAACAGTAAAAAATGTGTACTAATATAAAAGTACATGCACGTTTTAGTATATAATAGCGGACTTATAACAATTCATAACAGAAATGACATAATAAAATTTTAATATTTAGTATACATTCTTTTACCATAATAGTTATGTAAGCAATAGTTATAGTCGCTGGAATGTATATATATACCTGGGGCGAATTGCTGAAGCGATGCAAATATCACGTATCATTAATATGTATTTACCCACCAGCGCGTCTGGACGCGCGATCGCCGCCCGGTTTGGTGAAAGGGATTTCTTCTTCTGCTCGCATTTTCTGAAGATTCCTTGGCAAATTTTACGCCGTATTTTATATTGCATAATATTGTGGGTGCATAGACATGTTAATATCAGAACGATTCAAAGGTCTCTGTAGTCACAATAGTCAGGAATATTAAAGTACGCGTAGAAAATAATACAGACTTCTCTTAGTCCACCTTACACCTTTGTGTCCTCGATTTAAATTCTAGTACCATAACTACCTTCCTTTTTCCATATATGTTGAGTACACATTTAAATATTGAATACGTGCATTTACATATATCTTTCATTTGTTAGAACGTAAATGTGTATTCCCGATAACATAAAAAATTATGCTGAAAATGAAAATAATTCTATTCGTCTTAAAGACTAAAAAAGTCAAAATTTGTAACTAAATTTGACAAATGGACTCAACGGGCCTTACACTTAAATACTTAGTTTTAAGAGATCTTGATGCCAAGCTGGAAGGATCTCTGGTCCTAAATATCCCTAGACTGAGTACTCGAATGTATATAGAAGGGAGCTAAGTTACTGGATTCAATTAAGTCAATGCTTAAATCTTTTAATCTAAGCCCGTATAGTAAATCCACTAGCTCCTACCACCTTGATTCGTATTCTGTCAAATGATTGTCCCTTAGTCTCAGACTGACACGAGCAAAGTCTCTCCCGCTCGGATGTACACGACTCGACTTCCTCTGTATTAAGCGGAGGGCATTCAAACGATCAAATCACGAATAACCTCGATACCATTATCACCAGCTACCAACTATATCAGAACAGCGCCGAATGTGTTACAATTCGCTTCAGAACCCGCCTGCAAACAGTGCTTTCCCGTTCCCGAACTGTCATCGGAGCACAATTGATTCGATCCGGCGCGGCGCGGAACGAGTGCAATAACAGAATCGCAACGAGACCGTTGACGGGAGCCGGTTTCGACTTTATTCAAAAGGTCGCTGATGCGGACGTTTGTTCAGCGTTAGTCACGACGAGAAATAGATTTTCAGACGCGTGTGCCCGTTAAGAAACAATGATACAGACGGAGAGCCAGCCCCGGGGCCCCCATTACACACTCCGCCGCAGCAAAGATCGGAGTCATAAAGCGCAAAGCTCTTAATTAACGATTTTACTCGACTCGTTGCACATTACCTCCTCCCTCTAAATTGCCGGGTGAGTTCTCGGTTCGACGCGCCGGTATTTTAACCTCTTTATCGCCACGGCTGATCTTCCAGTGGCTCGTTTTGTCGAGCCCGGGCAGAACGGGACAAGAAGGGGCGGGGACCCGAGCTGAAATTTCGCGCTTCTCGAGACGTGGAATTGAAATAACGGATGATCTTCGTGAAAAGAGGAGGCTCTGCAAAGCTAAATCCAAGCGGGCACAAACTGAAGAAATAATAAAACAAACTTGATGATGCGCACCTCACTCGAAGCTGCCGTTAAAAATTTCAACCAAATTAAGTGCATCTTCTCGGAATATGATCCTTCCGATTCCCGATTTCCGGATGAACGTACTTTTTTGGAATTTTATTTAAAGGCGTTAGAAATGATTGTCATAAACCAGCACCGATGATACTGATACGATAATAGGGATTCTAAGAGCCAGTTGCTAAGAACAGCCATTTTGATTGTTTCGTCTGAAACATGTCACGGTCTGAATCTTTCTAATTAGAATATAAAAGATTGTTAAGAAAGTGTAGATAACATTACATTTGTAACAGCGTATGGAAGGACTTTAATATAACCCGACCAATTAGCTTCTAACATAGCAGTTAACATTGCGCAACCTAATTCTTCTGTCACCCATTCCAGTGATCTACGTTTCAACAACATCGCGGAACTCCGGCCAGGTTCCTTTCACGGTTTGTCCGAGCTGCACACGCTCCTGTTGAACGACAACCGCATCAGACACCTCTCAGCGAGGACATTTGAGGGTGCACCGAATCTGAGGATCCTTTATCTCTACAAGAACCACCTGGAGCGCATATCGTCCAGCGCGTTTGCTGGCCTACCGAAACTGGAGCAACTGTATCTGCACTACAACCACCTTAAAGAGATCAAGAAGGGCACGTTCAATGATCTGCCGTCCCTGGAACGATTGTTCCTTCATAGCAACATGCTCCATCATCTGCCCGCCGATGCGTTCCAAAATGTCGGCCCGATGACGAGGCTTCGTCTGGACAGCAACGCGTTAGTCTGTGACTGCAATCTTGTCTGGTTGGTACAGCGGCTGCAGAACAAGCCCTCGGAAATGGCGGCGATATGCCAGTCTCCGGTCGAGATGAAGGGACGTTCCCTGACGGCGATGTCACCCGATGATTTCCATTGCAGTTGAGTAACGTAACGAACTGTCGAGACGTTGACGACCATGTTACCACGCTTATCGCACTTATATTATACAAATTTAATGGAGTAAAACCAAGTACGAATTAGATGACTAGTAGGATAGCTTTACTGGAAATTAAAATCTTTCTAAACTTTATTGAAGATTTGCTTTATCTCTTGAAATGTTGGCTGCCGGGAACTATCGTATTATTCGAAGAACATAGTAGTAATATTTCAGAAAAGCAAAATAACCGATGTTCCTTTTTCATTTCCAGCCAAACCGCGCATCATGCACGGGCCCGAAGACGTCGAGGTTAGGCTCGGCGGTAAAATGACTTTCACCTGCGAGGTGATAGGGGACCCGACACCGGAGATCAAATGGATGCGTGACTCGAACGAGGTGGCGGTTGATGGTGACCGCTACGTGATGCAGGAGGATGGCTCTCTAGTGATATCGGACGTGACCGAGCAGGACACTGGAGAGTACGAATGTATAGCTAGAAGCGAGATGGGTCTAACGAAGTCGCGGAAGGCTAGAGCAGTGATCACTGTCTCGCCGTCGTTGAGGTTCACCGAGCTGCCGGAGTCACAGACCGTGGCTGTCGGCACGGACGTTTCCTTCACCTGCAGAGTGGAAGGTATACCAGCACCTAGAGTCCAATGGTGGCGAAACGGTCAGCAGCTGAGCGTAGGTGGTCGAGTCGCATTCGAAGAGAATGGTGACGTGTTGCGCGTGTTCGCGGTCAAGGAGTCCGATGCGGCCAGGTACGTGTGCCGCGCGAGGAACACGAACGGATATGCGGAGACCAGCGCCGACTTGAGGGTCGTCGATTCGGCCTACGGTCCACCCAGACTGACCTACGAGCCACGGGATATGGAGGTGGAACCTGGCGCCATTATCGAAGTCCCCTGCAGGGTGGAGGGTGTCCCAAAACCGGTGATACAGTGGAAGAAAGATGGAACCGCCGTTGAAGGGAACAGGGTACGAATATCCAGAGGTGGAAGCTTGTACCTTTATAATGTTACCTCGGCGGACGCTGGCAGGTGAATTTATTCGACGTCATTTTGTTCCCTTGTCCTTTGAATCCTTGATTTTTGCCAGATACCTGGTATAACAATCAGTTTTGCCATCAGATACGAGTGTTCAGCGGTGAACGAATACGGCCGCGCAACCGCCCAAGCCCTGGTCCAGATCCGTCAGCCGGAAAGGACGGACGGTTTGGTTATAAGGGCGTTCAAGGATGCGAAAGCGGAGATCGATCGCGCGATCAACAACACATTGACGAATCTCTTCAGTGGCAATGCAGCAGGACCTCGCGCCAACCCGTTCCGGCTTGCGCGGTTTCCTGATGCCGTGGGCCGCGCCGCTGCTAGACCGGCTGAAATCTTTGAACGGACACTAGTTAACATCAGACGTATGATCAATGCGGGCATGGCTGCGAATACGACTAACGAATACCGATATGAGGAGTTTTTAACACCTGAACAGGTTTGTTATTTTTTCAAGAGAACTTTTTTATTTTTCTCTGATTCTGTCAACTTTCTTTCCACATATAGATCTTAGAATCCCATCAGTGGTAGATTAAGGAGTCCCCTAGATCCTAGCTGTCCTCTGGAGTGAAAGATTTCCATTTTCCTTGATATTTGCATAGTATACTATAAATCATTTCTGAATTATCATCAGTAATTACCTCCAGCAATTCTCAATTAATCAAATGTTCATGTTATTGCTGAGTCAATTGACGATCAACTTTATTTTCATCCCTTAGGTGAAAGAGATCGAAAGACTATCCGGTTGCACGGGCCATAGGCACCGTCAAAATTGTACGAACATGTGCTTCCACAACAGATACCGCAGCATAGACGGCAGCTGCAACAACCTACGGTATCCTACCTGGGGTTCATCTTACACCGGATTCCGCAGGGTTCTCCAACCTATTTACGAGAATGGCTTCTCGACGCCAGTCGGCTGGGAAAAGGGTCGCCGATACTACGGGTATCCAAAACCATCGGCACGTCTTATTTCGACCACACTAGTGTCAACGCATAATGTCACTTCAGACGACAGAATCACCCACATGGTGATGCAATGGGGTCAATTCTTGGACCATGATCTCGATCATTCCCTGCCGTCAGTATCAAGTGAATCCTGGGATGGTATCGACTGCAAGAAATCCTGCGACAACGCCGCGCCATGCTTTCCAATGGAAGTTCCTCATGGTGATCCTCGAATAACAAACCGAAGATGTATCGACTTCATTAGGACCAGCGCCGTCTGCGGTTCAGGGATGACGAGTATTCTGTGGGGAAGTTTCTCCCCCAGAGAACAGTTGAATCAACTCACTAGCTACCTTGATGCCTCCCAAGTATACGGTTATGACAACGACTTGGCCAAAGATCTACGAGATCTCACCACAGATCATGGTCTGTTACGAGAAGGACCCACCAGACCCGGCCACAAACCTCTGTTACCGTACGCGTCCGGTCAATTCGTCGATTGTAGGAGGAATCCGCTGGAGAGCTCGATCAACTGTTTCGTTGCCGGGGACATTCGAGCCAACGAGCAAGTTGGCTTGTTGGCCATGCACACGATATGGCTGAGGGAGCACAACCGCATTGCGCGCAGCCTTCGCGAGATGAATCCACATTGGAACGGAGAAAAACTTTATCAAGAAGCCAGGAAGATCGTTGGCGCCGAGATGCAGCATATTACCTATCAGCAATGGATGCCTCACGTGTTCGGTGGTACCGCTGACGATGTTATAGGCCACTACCGTGGTTACGATCCGAATCTAGATGCAAGTGTATCAAATGTGTTCGCCACTGCAGCTCTGAGGTTTGGTCACACCCTTATCCAGCCGCGGTTGGAACGATTAAACGAATCATTCCAGTCGATACCTCAAGGACCCCTTCTACTGCGGGACGCCTTCTTCGCACCGTGGAGAGTGGTGGAAGAGGGTGGGGTAGATCCTTTGATGAGAGGCATGTTCGCTACCGCAGCTAAATTGAAACTACCTGAGGAAAATCTGAACTCAGAACTGACGGAGCAACTGTTCCGTACAGCTCACGCAGTCGCGCTGGATCTTGCTGCGATGAATATCCAACGTGGCAGGGATCATGCTTTGCCAGGGTACTTGGAATGGCGACGATTTTGCAATATGTCTTACGTGGAGACCTTTGAGGATCTGGCTGGCGAAATACGTAGCGCTAAAGTCAGGCAGAAGTTGAGAGAACTGTATGGCCATCCGGGAAACATAGACGTCTGGGTGGGTGGTGTCCTTGAGGATCAATTGCCTAACGCGAAAGTAGGACCTCTGTTCCAATGTCTTTTACTGGAACAGTTTAAGCGTTCCAGGAACGGCGATAGATTCTGGTACGAGAACCCGACCGTGTTCAAACCAGAACAACTGGCGCAAATCAAGCAGACGAGCCTGGCTAAGATCTTGTGCGATAACGGTGATAACATCAATCGAATACAGCCGAATGTGTTCCTCTTGCCGGAGGCTGACAATGGATTCGTCTCCTGCGACGAGCTGCCGTACATTGACCTGAGGGTTTGGTCCGATTGTTGCGATGGATGCGAAGATCATAGTAACACGATTTCACGTTTCCGGCGAGCAGCGGCTAAGTATTTGCCCCCGCTCAATGATTTGGCGAATGATTTGGTCAAGCGGGATCCTGGCGAGAAAATCGAGTTTTTGGAACGGACGCTCAATGAGACTGAGCTGGAATCTAGAAGACTTATGGAGCTAGCCAAATCTCTATCTCATAAAATGGAAGAATTGAGGTCCCTTTTAGAAAATGTGAAAAAACGAGTAGCAAAATAAGACAATAAATCAAGATTGTCTTGGTAGATCATAAATATTAATCCACTGCTGTTCACTTAGCTAGACGCGCTTGTATCTTATTAACTCCGTATGTTTTTTAATGTACATACATTGTGAATTTTAGACGCTACATCATAGTTTAAAGAGTGATTCTTTGTCGTTCTTTACTGTATTTACCATTTAAATGGAATTTTGGATAAGTTGTTAGACCCTTGAATAATGAAAACCAGTCTTGAACCTCGAAGAACTCCATGCTGCTTTAATAATATTATCTAAACATATGTCAGCTTCAATTTATGTAAAATTATTTATATGAATAATGTAATTGTGACACGCACCTTCAATACGTGATTTAAATTCTATATTATAGAAAGAACAGAATAAGAATGTAACTTTCTATATCTATTTCTTTTTAATTGTTTTTTATACAATAATATTAATATAATAATATAATAATATTTCACTGCATTTCAGTAGTGATGACAAGTATTTAGGCATTAGCTTAACAACATCTCGTTTATACAAACATATCATTATGCAACTCTCTACCTTACACAAAATAGTTGCTATTATAAGAAATAATTGCTTAATGTATTCTATACTTAGCAATGAATATTGAATTTTTTTTTTCCGGAAATTTGTAATCTATATGTTACTTAATATGTACAGTTTTGACGTTATTCATTTTTATGTCACCAGCAATTGCATTTCTCATAATTCTGTGCCATCAAACATTGTAGAATGTATTATAATCATTTATAATATATATTTTATATAGTAAAAGAAATGTTTTTAGTCATAATGTGTTCATTTATTATTGACTAGAGAACATAATAATGCATTAAAACATAAATTGTATACATTTCAATAACTTTATATAAAATGCATATACATTATAAACTGCTTCAGAATATTTAGATGTTACATATACTATCACCCAAAATCTAAAATATTTTAAGCACCAATTCCTAGCGGTATATATTACATACTTCTACATTTCTTGTGTATTTCAAAAACCAATAAATTTTGTGTGTCGCCCATGAGCGATAATATCCTTTCCATCATTCTTCGTAAGATCCACTGCAAGAAAAGCTAATCGTTTTCCTGCACGTATAGTTCTAGCATCAACTGTTACCATTTCACCAGGAAGTGCAGGTTTCATGAACCTATATACAAACTCTTATTAGACACATTTTTTTATTACTTTCCCAAAAACAGAAAAAATTACATACGTAACATTCAGATCTACTGAGACTCCTGGTGGACTATCTTTGTAAGTCATCAAAGCATAAGTAGAGATACAATCAACAACCGTGCTTGTAAAACCTCCATGCATTGTACCAGCCTCATTTAAATGTTCTTCAGATACAACAAATTTTACTTTACAGTTACCATCTCCTGCTGAGACTACCTGAAGCTTTTTAAAGAAATAAAGGACATGTTATATAAAATTTAATTTAGAATAAGAAATACAACATTTTTCAACATTCACATAATAATAATTAATATAAAACTACATTCAACAAAAAAATAGAATCTATTAAAATTATACCTGTCTTAGACATCGATTAAAATGAGGTGATTCCCTTATTTTATCAAAAATTGTTTTAACAAGTTCTGTGCCGCGTGTCATAGTCGCAACTGTTCTAAATTTTTCCGTTCAATAAATACTAGCGGAATTGTGCTCTTTATATTCCTATTTTACTTGCTAATATTATCCGTCACATTATAGAGTTACCAGTCTTGATACCGAACGTAACCTATATAAAACATGTACATAAATTAGCACATTAGGGAATTTTCACTATCAGTTTATGAATTTATAAGAACTTCTATGCAACAATTTTAATAATTTTTAATAAAATATCTTCATATAAAATCTAAATTGTAAAGAATTGAAATATTATGATCAAATACATTTTACTTCTATTTATGGAAATATTACCACTAGTTTCTATCAAATAAATTAATTGTAAGTAAACAATAAATAATAATATAAACAACTCTATTTTCTTTTAATAAATAATTTTATTTTTCAACTTTTTCCATTCTTACTTTTAATTAAAAATATTTTATAAATAATTATAAATTATATATATATTACATTATACGTATTAAAATTCCTAATATGAGAAATTTAAACATGTTTAACAGGTAATCCTTGGTTATTTAACAAATGATCTTTGGGATCCTTAAGATATTTAGGTCCATCCCCAACTTGTGTATAAATAATATATTTAAAACATCCTGGTGCATGCTGCTGAATGTTCATCTTATTTAATAAATTCTGAAACATATTAGGAAATAATAATTTATAGGTATAATTATTTTATTGTATGAAATGTATAGAAACTGAAAATTTTACTTGTGAGGGTTTAACTGTTTCAATTGGCAATCCTTTTTTATATTCAACTAAGTTATCTTGCAGTGGTGGAAAGAAATGATCTATTACACCCATAACTGTTGGTACATCTTTTTCTAAAAGATATAAAGTAGTATTTGGTCCTGCATCATACGTATATGCAACCTAAAATAAAACAAATTTTAACATGTGTAGTTTATAAATTTCTTGAAGAAAACCGTATCATTGTCATTATTACCTTTATTTCATTAACAGCATTATTGTAAGAATGAATCAAATCAACAACAGCATGTGAAATATCATTCATATAGATGCATGGTGGATATGTATCTAAAGCTGTCGCATGCATTTGATTAGAATCTTTCATTGAAAGTTCAGCAAAAGTTTTAAAATCCTTTTTAATTATTGCCTGTTGCATTTTATCTGCTACTATTGGTACAATGTGTTTTACCCTATATTTCAATAGTTCTGATGTCTCCATACTTCTTTTCATTCCAATTGCACTAGAAACTTTTTTCTGTGCATCATTTAGCTATAAAAAAAATATTCAAATATAACTAATATAAAATTTCAAATAACATTTTAATATACTACATACAACTAATATTATGATCCTCATTTCTGGCCAATAAGAGGCAGGTGCAATTTGCTTTGCTATACTATCTGTTCCATTTGGATCAGATCCCATGTGCCATCTCACAAAACCTCCTAGAACACTACGACATGCTGATCCAGAACCAACACGAGCAATTGAGCTAATATCACCCTAGAATATATTACATCCAAATAAAGAGATAATCAGTATTATGTATCATATAGTATACAAATTTATACTTTATTTATAATACCTCAACTTCATACAACTTAGCTAAAGCTGCTACAAGACAAGCATAACCAGCTGCACTAGAAGCTAAACCAGCTGCAGTTGGAAAATTATTCTCTGAAGAAATATGAACTTTCCATTGTCCTAATTTATTAGAAGGTCCTGCACGTTTTCTAACTGAAACAGTATGCTGTGTTCTTATCTGAGAAAATTTTAAAAACTTTAATATATTAATAGTTAATTACTTTCTGTTAAACAGTTTTGCAATCTGGGGCTTCTGATATCTTCTTCCCTACAAAATTATGAAACTAAAATAATGTAGCATACCAAATACTTATAAGTGATATTATTAAAACCTACTTTCCATTCAGCCAGATACAATCCTCTTTGAAACGTGGACTAGCCATGACAGTAGTTTTTGCACATAACTAAAAGTAGTATTAAATATGAATAAATTTTGATCATATTCAATATATTTTAAAATAGTTATATTATATACAGTTATATCCATACTTGATCTGTATCTAAAGTGGCACTTATAGAATCATTTGCTGGTAATATTAATGTTTCATCTCTTTTGCCCCCTGCAAATAAGGAATTGTAAATTTTAATATATACATTCTTTCATTCGTGAGCTTATTTGAATGATACCTAAAAATATCTATTTAAATGTAAAACGGTACGAGACAGCGCGCACATAAACTTGCTTATAATACTTTTAAATGTATTTTATTCGGAACATAGAGTTGTCGTGATAAGAAAACACGTTTTTGTTCTAAAACTTCAAAGTTCACAATGGTATCCGTTCTACTGAGAAATGTCGCATTTATTCGAATTGAAATTTCAAACTCTAATGTGGCGCGCATTCGAAAAATGTATTATAATTATAATAATTATTATATGCATTAATTCTTCTGACTAAATATACAGAATATAAACTAAAATTCTTGTATCTTCATTTGATGACGTTTCAGTTCAAATCAACGGATGTACAACAAACTTATTTATATAAATGCTTCTTAAAAATACGCTTCAACTCATTAAAAGATTACAACAAATAAAGTTTATAACTAGGTTGCAAATATTAAGAAAAACTAAGAAAATAGTACTTACAATATTTTACAACAGCAATATTAACAGGTGCAACACAAGTAACGGTACTCATGATTAAAAGTTCCACTTAACTCTTACGTGTATACCGTTGAAGAACGTTTTTCTAAGTGGCGCGCAGCATTTATATTGAAAACAGCATTAACTACTCGTTGACTAGATTGTCACCCTCTTAAAGAAAATCTACTTAATTTACTTCTTAAATAACATTCAAAATTTCCACTTTTGGAAGTTTAACACACGTTACACCTATGTGCTACTCATGCATTACGTTTCAAGTTTACTATGATGTATAAACTTCTTCATTTTTTATCAATATTTTTCTAATAATTTTTGTTACTCTTAACAATTATAAAAAAAGGATCTTTTTAATATATTGTTTCTACTCCTGTAGAGTAATTACAGCATATTACAAGAAACTGTAATATATTTCAACCTCAAATCACATTTAAATATAATTAAAGTTTAAATTTCCCTCCACTGAGTTATCTACTAAGATCGCCAGAATATAAACTCTGTCGAGCAGGCCACGACAGTTGACCGAACACCAACCAATCAGTTATATTGTTCATGTATAATTGAAATCAATAGAAATTTTCATTTTTATCGACAGATACAGTGATAGAGTTGACCGTGTTTCTGGTAGGTGTCGCTGTTTGGATGAACGCATTCCCGCTCAGTGCTGGATGGATTCACACATACCAGCGGATTTTCAGTGTGATGCCGGTTCTGTTGACGGAGGGGGTGATTTGCACGGTCCCCGGAGGGCTGTACGTACCACGGTCGTGCATGGCGTGCACGGTGCTTCTCTGAAGCGCGCGCTCCTTCCTCGCGGTCGCACGGCAGGAACGACGCACGCAAAAGAACGGTGAAGAAAATAATGTTGGTGTTGTGCGGTAGCGTCCGCGAGCCTCCGGAACCGTAAAGGAACAGACGGAAAGGATCTGTGTGGAACAGAGTTAAGGGAACATGGTGTGCTCATGGTGTCGCGTTCGTTCGACGTTATTAAAAGACGATGCACGAAGTTAGTGGCGCGATTTGTAGAGCCTAGTGGCCGCATCCCTTCCTTATTATCTCGCGCGTGCTTGCATCGCAGGACTCGTACATACACGTTCCCTTTCTCCGAGTTGGATTAAACGTGCGCGGGTGTCGCACGACTAGATCTCCTTGTTCTCGCGAATAGAACTGACCCGCGAAAAGAAAGAGGACCAAAGGAGACGTGAAGTAAATAGAAAGAGAGGGAAGGAAAACGAGAAAGAAGAGACCGATGGAGCCGGTCACACGTATGTCCGTGAAGATCAAGTGGTCGGGTACCGTCGAATAATCTGGCGACGTAAAGGTGCCTCCCGTGGGACGTCTGGTAGGTTACGGTGACCGAGTCACTCTGTCATCTGTTTCCAAGAAGGGATAGAGAGAGAGAGAGAGAGAGAGAGAGAGAGAGAGCGCGAGCGAGAAAGAAAGAGAAAGAGAAAGAGAAAGAGAAAGAGAGGGGAGTCGGCGGTTACTGTGTGTAGAGAGTGTATAGGATCGCGCTATGGGGCGTCAGTGTGGTTGGTCCTTCACCAACGGCGGAACCTGAATGTGTGCATATTTCTCCTGGCTGACTGGCCTGCCTTCCACCGTTAAGCTGCGTTCACAAAGAGAGCCGATTTTCGGGCAAGGACCGCGGCTCGGTCGCTATTGCCAGGACCACGAATCGGACCGGTTAATGAGGACCGTTCGGCGTCGATCGTCCAATCGGCTAGCAGGTGAGATCTTTTATTCTTGTTATATATTTATGTTAGTTTTTTAAATGCACATCAGGAGTAAAAATCGACATAAAACATTCACTTTTTTAT